GTGTGCGGTATAATCACGCCATGGAATTACCCGCTAATGATGGTGTCCTGGAAAATGGCCGCCTGTTTGGCCGCCGGCAACACAGTTGTCCTAAAACCGGCTCAAGTAATGCAGCGATTGATGGATAGAAATGTGACACAACATTAAACCCATATTTTGTTTGACAGGTCTCTCCGTTGACTGCCCTTAAATTGGCCGAACTATCGGTTTACGCGGGTTTCCCTCCGGGTGTGATCAATATCCTTCCGGGCACGGGCTCTGTGTGCGGTCAGGCCATCGCCGACCACCCGCTCGTACGTAAACTGGGTTTCACGGGCTCGACGCCCATCGGACAGACAATCATGAAATCGTGCGCCGAGTCTAACATGAAGAGAGTGTCACTAGAATTGGGCGGAAAGTCGCCGCTAATCATCTTCAACGACGCCGATCTCGACCGCGCCGTACGTCACGCCATGGGCGCCGTCTTCTTCAACAAAGGTTCGCATAAATATAAACACACTGTCAATGAGTTTGCGGCCAATAATTGTATGGTTAAAACTATAGGCGAGAACTGCATAGCGGCCGGACGTCTATTCGTCGAGCAGTCAATTCACGACCAATTCGTGAGTCGAGTGCTGGAGGAGACCAAGAAGATCAAGATCGGCGACCCATTGGATCGGTCGACATCGCACGGCCCCCAAAACCACCGTGCTCATCTCGAAAAACTGGTCGAATACGCGCAGATCGGGGTGAAAGAGGGTGCCAAACTGGTGTACGGGGGCGCGCAGGTGGACCGCCCCGGCCTGTTCTTCACGCCCACTATATTCACGGCCGTTACGGACGACATGTATATCGCGCGCGAAGAGTCTTTCGGCCCGATTATGATTGTCAGTACGTTTCCCGACGGCGATGTGGACGGAGTGTTGCGTCGGGCGAACGCCACTGAGTTTGGTTTGGCCTCCGGAGTGTTCACTCGCGACATATCCAAAGCCCTGTACGTCACGGAGAAGGTGAACGCCGGCACCTGTTTTGTGAACTGCTATAACAAGACCGATGTCGCGGCGCCTTTCGGTGGATTCAAACAGTCCGGTTTCGGCAAAGACTTGGGACAGGAGGCCCTCAATGAGTACCTCAAGACCAAGACTATTACCATTGAATATTAGGTGGCTTTACGTGTTAGCTGTTAACCTTTTCTCTCTCTCTCTCTCTCTCTCTCTCTCTCTCTCTCCCACAAACTTTTTTCTCAATGCAAACTTAATACAAAATTCTTTGAACGCAAGGCTTAAACAACTTGTTGTTCCCCTATATAGGAGTCCGTTTAGCCCTCACTTTAGTCCTGCTTTACATATAATTAAAAGTTGTCTTTAGTTTTGTTACATTTAAACTTCAAATAAACACATTTTTACATAAACTAACATTAATTCAAACAAATTTTCAGCAACTTTTCAATCACTTAAGTCAATAAACAAACGCTTAGAATATAACTTATGATAAGAAAAACATGTCATAAAATAATATTTTTACAATAATTGCAAAATAAAATAAATTAAAATTAATGGTAAGAATCAATCGTCTATTTATACGAACCGATGTTCAAGTAATGGCAAAAAGTGTGAAAAAAGTGATACAAAGAAACTGAAAAATTGTTTGGACGTAAAGGTGCGGCATATTATGTATCGCATGAATAGCATATCAGCTCCTCTTACCTCTCATTCCCTTCGAAACACAATAGAAAGCAAACGAAAAGTCAATTGTTTTGTCGGATTTGTGTGTGAATTAATGAATGTGATTATAATTGCATGAAATACACCTGCAATACAATGAAATGAGACCTTTTATTAGTCGTATAACGCATACCATTCAACACCAAACATGTTATGAAATACACGTTTAATGTAAAACATATGTCTTATCGATTAGTTTAGTTAACAATACCTCTAATAATGAATTTTATACCATTTGCGGAAAACCACAACTTTTATGTAATCGTTTCATTCATTAAATTATTTTTATATTTTTTGAATGCTTTAAATGGTTTCTCACCATTAGTTTATTTTTATTAACAAATATTATTTCTAAATCAAGCGAATGTGTTGTAAGACTTATTATTGAAATACATATACCATTGAAAGTTATTGAAGATAACCAGTGATAATGCATTTTCCTATTGAAACCATTGACACAATTTATGCTCTCATTAATACTATTTGTTGGAATCGAATATTTTATCACATTTTAAGTGTATTACTGATTAGATTACTAACAATTAAAGCATTATTTATTGAGCTAATGCATACATTTTTAGATTCTATACAATATATTATATGTAATATTAGTTAATTCATTCATTTATTATTACATTACCTTCTAAATCCATGATTTAAAAATTCTGATTCTCGGCTGTTATTTATTTATTTATACTTGTTAATATTAGTACAATAATTGTATACTTCAAAGTAATTGAGAATTAAGTTATAAATTTATATAATCACATATTAATTTTTAAAGCACTTTAAATATTTTTGTATTTTTAATATTGCTTATAACAATAATGAAGATTTATTTTTTAATTAAAGTAATAAGTATTCCACTCAAAGAAAGTTAGAATGTCTACAATTAATAATAACATTGAAGTGAAATATAAATCACATTCATTTCACAAGAATTCAAATAATATATTATTCAAATAGTAATGTTATACTTAAATTCAAACATTGTTTTTATAATTATGAATAACAAATTGTTTAACTAGTTATGAATTAGACTTTCCTATTAATCACTTGAATATTAAACTGTTAATAAGATTTGTCTATTATTATGAAATACACTTAAAGATTGTCAATAAATGCTAAGAAATATATTGTTGTGACCAAAGAATAATCGTTATAAGAATCCCAGAATCTAATGTCGTCTCAATATTAACGCCTGGAGAACAGAAGTGGCACGATTATATCAACTAGGTTACATTAATGTGTTAAAAAACTTATGTAAACTAGAATATACAAATGATACCGCATTTATTAAGCCACAAAATTGTCTCTATGTATTGGGTTTAGAAGATAGGTCATCCTAAGACAACATCATCCGAAAATGGTTTGGGAACGTTGTTCAATGGGATATAAAATATTAGACAAATAAATGTTGTAAAATATGTAAAAGAATATGGGGTGATTGGTGATATTTAAAAATATTTTATTTTAATATTTAATTTGTGTAAATATTTATTCTACAACATTTATTTTTTAAATATTTTATATCACATTGAACAACGTTTTTGTACATTCTAGTTTACATAAATTTTCAAATGATCTATGCCATTAACATAAGAATAAATTTTAAATTATAATAAGATTATAATTATTAATAATATTTATATAACAATAAATTAACATATAATAGAGTAAAGCATCAATTTGTATTAATTATCTGATATAACATGCAATATCTCTTAATTTTATAATAATATTTAAATTAATATTTTATATAAAGTGAATCCTAATGTGCAAAGATTGAAAGCAATTATCAACAATAAAATAAAAATATATTTTAAAAGTTATTGTCAGTTATGGTTTAAATTGATGTATTGATGCATTGCCTCTAATGTACTGTACGTTCCCATCGATTAATAAACTCTATATTTACATAATTATCAAATCATTTGGAAATGCTTTGTAAACGCAGTTTTGGACACAAAACGGTTTTGTATGTGAATTACAGTAAACGGATAAATGTGACGCTTGTGAGCATCAAATAGAGTACAGTTATATTAAATCAATCTATAATTAGCCCACAATATAGAGTAGAATATACACTTATTGTTTGCATAACATTATAGGAGATATAGCTTTAGTGAATTTTATTAAAGATTAAATTAAATATAACATTAAATGACAATCACATCAACTGAATATATCTTCCCAATTGTGATAATCTTGAATATTCCTTATTTTATATTTCAAAAATATTCTATCAAATGATTTGAGTTCTATTTGTTATACAGTATAGTAATTGTAATTTTGTCGATTGTATTTCGCACTGAAAATTTTGAATTAAAATTTACAAAAACATTAAACACAAAAATAAGCAAGATTGTAGCATATTTTATTTGTTTTATTTATTTTACTTTTGTTAATACTGTATAATTATGAAAAATGTTAGTGTAATTAAATTTTACTTAATTCATATCGTAGTAAAGTGTCATTTGAAAATATTCTAATTGACTCGACTCTAGCATTAGAAATGTAGTCAACACTGATGTGTAATAAATTATTATTAATAATTAAAGATTTCTCTTGTATTCCAAAGGATTGATCAAGAGTTACAACAAAAGTAAGATGACCACCAAACTTTATGTAAGGGAAGGACAATAAAATAATATAATTGTATCTTGATCTCAGAAGAATATAATTTAAGGACATTAAGCGTATGGTTTACACCAAATAAAACAATTACTGTAGTATATAAGTTATATAATATAACTTAAGATCTTAAAATCTTTAAATTATAAAGAGGAATATTCAGTGGTTGCCAGAGTCTCGAATAGGTAGACGTGATTATTTTTCTAACTTGGTAATCTACCATACATTACTCATGATAAATGTTACGATTTTTGTAATTAAAGTTTACCCTTTAGTATATAATCTTAATATATAAATAGTACCCCGATGTATACTTTATATATGAATCATCGTTTATCATAGTATAGATGAGTATGAATTATAATGCAATAACTCCTCATCTGCGGCTCGAGAGGCAACACTAGGGAATATTTATGTAATATTTTGTTACAATCTTGCTTTTTTACATTAGATTTTTTTTTTTTGCAAAATCCCAATATACGTCTCGACTTATTTTTAACGTTAGTTCGAATGGTAAAGACAGAATTAATCTAGAACTTTTAGTTTTTGCTATATAGATATTGCTAATTATAAACACTATTATTTTCCTATGGAAATATTAGTCTGCAAAAACGTTAATTTTAAAAATATAACAAGTTAATTTATTCTAACTTTATATACACAAAACCATTTCCACAATATCTGGCTTGAACATGCTTGAGTCAAAGGACAAAGTTCAATGTTAATAGGCAAAATGCCAAAAATTTTATATTAAAAAATTATATATTTTTTTAATTTGCGAAATTAATTATCATTGTAAGCATAATTGAAATTGATATAAACGATGTTCAGTAATTACGTTATTCACTATAAAAAACGTACATAACTGATACTAAATTTCTTAATTTTGACATAACTTTTATCGATTATGTCAGATTTGAAAAATTCCTTCGGATCTCGATTCTACTCATCCATACCTTTCTATTGATATATAATATGATATGGTTATTTATAAAATAAAAGATTTGATTGTCAAAATTTTGCCGCTAAAAGTGGTCACTGTGGCCAAACCCGAGGTTGTATGGCCAAATGAACTATACCACTGTACTTCTTTCAGAGTGTACTTTCGATGTATAACAATAATTCTCGGGTGCACTCTTGGCATTATTTGAACATTATCATTTGTAGTATAACTATCCAGTTTTAAATTAATTATTCTGACCTTACGTTCGGTCAATATCTGTTGTAACATTAATTTAATGGTCAGATATATGTGGTTATGATTGTGTGAAGTCGATTACAATGTGAGACAAGTGTGCGCTTCTATGCGACACTTTTCGGCATATAATTGATTAAATCATTTGGAGATTCTCTAAAGTAATAGTAAATAAAAAACAAGTGTCACATAAAGTGCACAAATAGTGTGATATTTATTGTAAACAAATTCTAAACTAAAAAACATTTAATTTATTATTTGTATATTATTTAACAATTAATAATAATAATAATATGACTAATAATTAATTTCCAATACAATTAAATGATAAAAATATAATAATAATTAGTAAAACTATTTCTCTTCATTGAGTAAAGCTATAAATTCTTCTAATTTTTCCTGTATTTGTCGAACGCGTTCTGCAATACAAACACATGTTAATTAAAAAGCACACAAAAATCATATAATATTTACTCAATTCTTCTGCCAATTGGACTCTTCTTCCGGTTAAAAGACTGGTCTTCTTCTCGGAGTCCTGACTGTAATCGTCTAAAACCTCTTTGATTTCTTTCTCAAGTCTTCGGCCCTCAGTATTCATCACTTGTTGTCTCAAAGCGTTGGAAGTGATGGCAATCATTCGCTGTATTCTCCAGAATAATACGATATCATCGCAACTCAACTGAAGGAAACGTATGTTTAATCGCTTATTTCAAATGTGACCAAAACTTACATCACTTTCGATGTTCTGTTGGTATAAATAGAATCCTTTGCGACAATCATAGGCTCTGTTTAAAGCAGATCTCAAGAAACTCATCCGAAATAACGGAAACCAAATCTGTTTAATCTGTTATTTTAAAAAAAACCACTGATTGTTATAGTATTTGCGTTTAGAAAATATTTCATACCATTTCATAGTCGACTTCAATGCCTTGATTTTGTAAATTCTTCTTAACAGCAGTTAACTCATCGCTTCCGAGGATTGGGTTTTGTCTCTAAAAAATTAAACATTTGTTAGTTTATTGGAAATATAATTTCAATTGTAAATCAAATAAATACTTGAGTGTTGTGTTGAGCGAGCAATTTGTCCAATTCGTACTTAATATATGAGTTAACGTTTTGGTCACCACTTTTGGATCTCCATTTGAGCCATCGATCGGTAAATCCGGGACCAATTAGTTCATTAAGTTGTGCTTCAGCTTTGGTTTCAGACAACATTTTAGTCAACGTTTAAAGAAACATATTATGTCTATACTTAAGCGCAATCTTTCAGTAATGCTGTTCTCCAAGAATTTTATAGCCAAATCCCATTGACTCTTATCGGGAACCGATCGGTCTTCCAATACATTCAATTGAATTACTCGCTATTGTTTTGTGACAATTGTTTAAACAATAAAATATATAAATATCTGCAAATATTTGGCACTAAATCTAATGTAATTATAAACCAACCAAAACTTGTGCGGCCTTTGTTTCCCATGAATGCCTTTTGATGGACTCTTCAGCCACTGATATCTTAAGAAAGTCAAAAATATTGTCGTGTTCTTTGAGGGACTTATTCTTCTCAATCAAACGATTAAACTCTTCCTGTAATG